AGCCAAACAGTTTATTTGAAAAGATGTAACTTTTAAAAATAATCATAAAGCGGTTATTTAGAAGAAACACAACTCTTGGTGAAACAGTTATAATGAAAAGACACAACTCTGGACAAAACGGTTATAATGAAAAGACGCATACAAAGCAATTTTATCGAAAAGATGCAACTTTTGCAAATAACCATAAAGCGGTTTTTGTCGAAAAGACGCAACTTTTCAAAATAATCACAATACAGTTTTATCAAAAACCTGGATCTTAGAATAATCCTTTAAATACAAGACAGTTTTCCGGGAAGACAGGATAAAAAAACATATTTATTTGTTTGGGTTTGTTATTATATATATATAACATTTAATTTTTTAACATGGATACATTAGCATAGATGACGTTGCCAACTTTTGTAAGATCCCTTAAACACTACTTCACTTTTCCGTACGGGATTTGAAAAAAGAGTTTATTGGAAAAAAAAAATATTCTTTTTTGTTTTGTATTATTTGCAATTAAAAACTCCATAATCATTCACCTAATGTAATAAGTGTCTATGTCATGTCATGTAGTGCAATTATCCTTTTAATAAAAGAAATAAACGGAATAAAATTCGGTATGATAATTATCCTTTTAAATTATCCCCTTAAAGAAAAGTGTTGGACGTTATCTACAGCTCCGAAGATTAAGACTTTCGTGTGGAAGGCTCTAACTGGTGCTTTAGCAGTCCCGGAGAGATTGAAGACACGAGGGTTAACAGTGGATCCTCAATGTCAAGTGTGTGGAGCTGTGAATGAATCTATTAATCATATCTTGTTCTCATGCCCGGTTGCTAATATTCCAATACCAGTTAATGGGTTTTCAAATGATAATCTATTCATGAACATTCAGCATATGTTTGAAGTGTGTGATGATGTTCGATTTCATGAGGAGATTCGATTGGTTCCACCCTGAATCATATGGCAACTATGGAAGAATAGGAACTTGTTGTTGTTTGAGAGAAGATTCCTTCCTGCAAATCTTGTGGTTAAGAAAGCTTATGATGATGCACTTAGTTGGCTTGAAGTGAATAAACCAGTGGCATAAGTACGTAGTGAGGAAAATAGTAGAGAAAGAATGTGGGAACCACCTTGCTTTGGGTCGGTGAAGTGCAATGTGGGAGTGTGTTAGTCAAGAGATCGTAACGTAGCAGGTGCATCTTGGGTGGTTCGAGATTATGGTGGCCGTACTTTAATGCATAGCCGAAGATCTTACAATGGTGTTTTGTCTAAGTGTGATGCGGCGATGCAAAGCTGGTCTTGGGCCATGGAAAGCATGGATTTCTAACGTTATTTTCGCAGCAGATACAAGTGCATTAGTGAAAGCTATGAGTAAACCTCATGAATGGCCTGCCTTTGAAATGAAAATAGATAAATGCGTCGAGGAGCTTCACATCAAGACTGGACAGTCATGTAAGAGGATCCAAAGGCTAATGTTGGAGCCTCCGAGATTGCGAGAAGTGTGGTACGAGATAACCGAATCCAATCTTATGTTGCGCAAGGGTACCCAAGATGGTTGGAAGAGATCTTTGTACGAGAGCAACGTCATGTGTGAGAGAAACATGGTTCCTACACGAAGAAGAGATCCCAACGATGTGATGCTCTGTTTTGTTTTTTTGTTCTGCTTTCTTGGTTTCATTTTTGGTTATTTCCTTTTGAGTTAAAACTCTTGTAACTCATTTACTTCATTATTAACTAGATAGTTACCCGCGTTATATGCGGAATAATATAATATGTAAGTAAAATCAATGTAGTTTTAGTTTAAAAAATAATATATAGTTATTAGGAAAATTATTATACGAAATNCATAACTCGTTTATACATATGAATTTTGTAATTATTTTGTATATAGATGTAACACAATCGTGAAATAATTAAAAATAACAAATTTTTAGTTTTTTCGTCAATATATATCACTTATTAATAAAATATATTTATTTAATTTTAATCTTTAAAATACGGTTTATGACTCAAATATATAAAATAAAAGATCACAAATATGAATTAAATCTTATAGGTTTAGCGTAATTATAAGAGTGATAATGTAGTTTTTAAAATACAAATTTCGATTTAATTAATTGTTCATAAATCGTTTTAGATGCTATCCTAATAGAAATCTAAAATTATTTTTTATATATAAATTTTACACTTATTTTGTATAGAAATGTGTTACACCTGTGATTTTTTTAGTCATTTTATATCACTTATTAATAAAATCTATTTGTTTAATATCATAATCTTCAAAATACGTTTTATGATTCAAATATATAAAATGGAAGATTGCAAATATAAATTTAATCCTATTTAGGGTAATTATAAGAATAGTAATATTTTTTAATAAGTTAATGGTAAGAATTAATGTTACAATATTTGAATAACTAATTTAGGCACGTTTATAAATATTCTAATGTGTTTGGCAATTGAG